TAATTTTCCTACTTGACAGATGCAACTGTCTTTCGGGTTGCAAAGGTTGACAACAAGCTACACACAATTGGTCGGAAGCTCACTCTGACCCAGGCTGGCTTCGAACTCATTACTTTGTGGTCAGAAGTCATCTTAATGCAGCTGACACTCAGATAGCTGCACCACAGTCCCGGTGTCAAGACCCAGAAGCCTCAGAAAAGCCAAACACAGGATGCAAGGTCTAAACACAGTTTTATTGTTCACAAAAGAGTCTTAGAAACACTTACTTCAGTGCCTCAAGTTCAACCAAAGAATTGGYATCAAAAACAAGGTGAAATAAGCAACTAAAATATAACCCGGATTATCCTGGCGTATAATCCGGTTTAACTGAAATGTGAAGCAATCCTCTTTAAACTCACAAAGTCCAAAGAATGTTCAAAAGCACATCAGGTAAAGGCAAAAATAGAGTCCAAAACCGGTCCGAAGTCATAGCACGATGCAAGCAAGATGAATAAGTCCAAGAGGGAAAAAAGCGTTGTCCAAAACGGTCCGGAGTCAAAAGTGGTAGAGTAGAAGTCGTCATTCACGGAATCACAAGAGGAAAACACAGGAACACGGGAACACAGGAATCTGTCGTCCAAGGACCCAAGCTCGAGAATTGTGGCAGGAAGAAAGATTCACACCCCAAAAGAGACACTTTGCCTTCTGCAAAGACCCATTGAAACAAACCCCATTTCTATCTTAAAGTTCCTCCTCAGAAGATGAGCTGCACCCCAGCCTTTCATCATCACTCTCAGCTGCCCCATTCCCTGCAGCTGAACCCAGGCCATCATCCCTCCACCTTTGCCAGCGTCTGTCAAGACTTAGATCTTGCCAAGTGCTCCCCAATTGCCACTCTTCTGTAAACCCCTCAAAGTTATCACTAGAGGTAGGCTGGGTACAGATATCCCTAATCTCCTGTACGCGGGTCCAGTCAAGATCATCCTCCTCTCACATATCACTCTCAGACCCATCACTCCCTTCGAAGCCCATAAAGACTTCATCCTCCGTAGGAGCGCTAAGTATATCATGGATACGCTTCCTTTGAATCTCCTCATCAGATTCTTGTTCGCGAGTAGCCCGCTTAATTCCCCTGCTTTCCTCCCCATCCCCCATTTCACAGTCAGAGAAACCCTTGAAGGTTTTGGAATCAGATGGGGCCATGATTATCTCTAATCCTCTTTCGCTGCTGCTCCTCCTCCAACACCTGCGCAGCCCTCTTCTCCCTTCTACCACTAGTAGCAACGCTACTATCATGCTGAACTACAATACCCGGTGTGTGAGGAAGCATAAAATTACTGCCACCAAGGAGCTATTCTCTCTCCTCTACTATTTAACATCTATATGCGACCACTTGCCTGACTGGTGCGAAGCTTTGGGCTGAATTGCCACCAGTACGCTGATGACACTCAGCTCATTCTGAGGATGGAGGGMCGGCTAGACTCCATACCTGAAAATTTCCATCMGTGCCTTGAGGCCGTGACTGGATGGTTGCATGCCGGCAGGTTGAAGGTGAACCCAGTGAAGATGGAGATCTTTTGGCTGGGCCGTCCGGGTGGGAGGGAGATCCAGCTGCCTACCCTGGATGGYGAGACACTATGTCCGTCACCTTCTGTAAGAAGCCTTGGTGTCTTATTGGACCCTCTGCTGCTCACAATGGAGGCCCAGGTCTCTGCTGTGAGCAGATCTGCGTTTTTCCACCTACGTCAGGCTAGGCGACTGGCTTCCTTCCTATCTAGGAATGACCTGGCTACGGTGATCCAGGTGACGGTCATCTCGAGACTTGACTACTGTAATGCCTTTTACATTGGCCTTCCTTTGTCAGTGATCCGGAAACTGATGCTGGTGCAAAATGCCGGCGAGGTGTCGTATTTCCCAAATTCTACAACAGCTGCATTGGCTTCCGATTGGATTACTTTCAAGGTGTTGGTACTAACCTTTAAGGCCTTATATGGTCTGGGGCCGGCGTACCTAAGGGTCCACTTATCCCCCTACCAACCCCAGAGATTACTTCAGTCCGAAGACCAAAGTTTGCTTGAAGTCCCTTCCATCCGGACTTATCATCTGTCCTCTACTAGGCATAGAGCCTTCTCGATTGTGGCCCCTTATTTATGGAATGCCTTCCCAGTTGAAACCCGAACCATCCGAGAACTACTTGCTTTTCGTAAAGCCTATAAAACCTTTCTTTTCCAACAAACTTTCAATGGGTGAATAACTCGGGACTATGTCTGTTCTTGTTTTTATTGTATTTTAAAGTTGGTTGTATTGCTTTAATCTATTGCTGTAAACCACTCCGAGCCAAATTGGGAGTGGTGGTATACGAGTCAAATAAATAAATAAATAAATAAATAAATGATGGAACATTTGTAAAGGAGCCACCACTTTGTGAGGGTTTATTTAATTGATAGCTAATAATACTGATTTGGTTTTTCTTCTGTGTAGCGTGACTTACCTTGGAAAGGAAATGTAACAGGGACAAGGCTTTAGGAAAAATAGTAACAGGTTTATTGAAATGTAGAAGAAGCATGATGGATTCAATGTTTCTTACTCTTAGAGGCACATATCTTCAAAGGTTACAGTTATAACTTTTCTTAAACAACTATGGAAAGGACTCTTCCTTCCACTAAACAGGTTCCAAACTTGTTTTTCTTCAAACTGTGTTTCTTTCTTTAATAGATTACTTCAGTTACACGCTTATTCTTTCTTTATGATGTTTCTGTTACAATAGAGACTGTTAGGTTTTACTATGTATTGAGTCATGCACTGCTAATGAGTTAATGGGATTCTGTTGGGAATGCTGAGAATGTATTGATTGTGTGTGYGGAATCATTTGGGAAATGRGTTTTTGCCTACTCAGAGTGATTGTCTATGACACAATCCTGGGTTTGGGTTGGGTCAATTAGTTYGTAACCAATCAAGGATTACTATGTGTAAATGTATTGTAAATGTATTGTATATAAGGAAACCYTGTACAATGTATARTCCCCCCTTSKTGTTGTGKTYTTGTGCTGTTGTGATGTTATTCGTCAAAGACTATAAAAGAACCTGTCTACTTGGACAAGATACTGCGTACTGTGGTGAGTCTGTAATATCATCTAAAACTGGGGGAAAGACAATAGTAAAAACTGGATAACGGCCGGGCATGTGCTCAAGTATCTACTGTGGAAGCAGAAGACTGAAAAAATGCTGAGCAGGAGGAAAGCTGCTGGAACGCGCTGAGGCTGTGCAAGTGTGAAGTTAACTCTGGCCATAACAGAGACTCTCACTGGGTTTCTCTCAACACTATTAATATAAATAAGCCAACTCGACTTATTTAAACTACCCAAACCTCCCTGATTCTTAAGACAGTAGAATCAGTCCTTTCCCTGTACTTTTTAAACTACAGATCCCTTCTGGTTCTCTCTACTCAACAGAACCAGCCTCTCCTACAGTTCACAGACTYTAGACTATTTRCCTGATTCTCCTCCTAGAGAYTRAGTCTTCTCCTGTAGCTCTCRGACTASAGACTAACCATTTAAAATGGTTACCRTGCCAAGTGGCAGTTGGCTCCGCCCCTGTTTCCATGGTAACCCAGTTCAACATAAGCTGAGCTGGCTGCCATTTCCCTTGGTTATGCAACTTTAAATACTTACCCTTTAAACATCTGTCTATAATTATACATGACATRTATAATTATACATAACTGCAGGTTAAAAATTTACACTTCACCACAGTCCCGGTGCTTACACAAGCCGCTACTCTGTATATAGTATAAATGACTTTATGACTGCAATAAATGCTGTTTATAGCTTACTTGGCTGGTGAGCTGTGCTGCTATGATGGATGTTCCTCAACTGGGTGTTTGTGTGGGACCTGCCGGCTGCTGAGTCCTCGCCAGAGAGCAGAGACAAATAGGATCTCGCACCCACATTCCAACACTGGAGTTGGAAGAGACCCCCAAATGGCCCTGAGCCCAGCCCCTTTCAACCAGCCAGGAAGGCCACCCACCCACCCATCCCGAGAGGTTTAATCACTTCAGAAGTGGCGTGTCGGAGTGCTCAAGTGTAGGTACTGTTAGCACTTTGGTTATTTGCTCAATGTGTTGATTGAGTTGCAAACATTACCATTAAAATGGATAAGTTTATAATTAAGAAAATAAAATCTATTCGTAACGATGTTTGTGATGAACCGCATGGAACGGCAAAAGAGGAAACTATTATTATTATTATTATTAACTTTATTTGTACCCCGCTAGCATCTCCCGAAGGACTCGATGCAGCTCACACAGGCCGAAGCCTCAAAAACACAGTACAACAAAACATAACACAACAGCAAAACAGAAACTATACAAGGATTACTTAGACAGAAAGATGATATAAAACATTTCTCTCTATATTATTATATTATATGCATTGGAAAATCTTATGTGGGGTTGATTTAAGCCTCTGTTTTGCCAACGTGAATTACCGTGTTACAAAAGGATGCATGTCAAAAGTGTCATCGACATGAAAGGTTTGGAAAGCTCAGTCTTAGAGACACACTCTCTCTCTCTGGGGCCAAGGGCCACTGTTCCCTCCCATGTGAATTCTATGTCTATATAGATTTAAACTCTTAGAGCAGCTCTTAGAATCACAGAGTTGGAATAGATCTAGTGGGCCATCCAGTCCAATCCCACTCTGCCAAGAAGTAGGAAAATTGCATTCAAAGTACCCCTGATAGATGGCCATCCAGGCACTGTTGAAAAGCCTCCAAAGGAGGAACCTCCACCACACTCCCTCCCTCTGGGGCAAAGAGTTCGACTCCAGGGCAGCACAAAGGAAGTTTGCTCCCTCCTTCCTAGGACTTCCTCTCACATGTTTATACATGGCCCTCATCATTACGTTTATTTATGTCCCGCTTTTTCTCTCTGTACGGAGACTCAAAGCATCACAAATTAAAAGCATTGTAATATAACTTCAAATATACATCTATACAAAGAGTATTAAACATCATGAATATTTAACCAAAAACAATTTTAGTTAAAGCCATAAAATCATATAAAAGCACAGCAGGGTTAGATTAGATGGCCCATGTGGACTCTTCCAACTCTTTAATGCTATGATTCTATATGCTAAGTCTTTATAGGGTTTCTTCCCAGCATGAGTAATTTATGTGAACGTAGATGTGCACTCTGAGTAAAGCTCTTTCCACACTCCCAAGCATTCATAGGGTCCCTCCCCAGTGTGAGTCCTTTGATGTGAACGTAGAGTTCCGCTCCGAGCGAAACTCTTTTCACACTCCAGGCAGTTATACGGTTTCTCTCCAGTGTGAGTCCTTTGATGTTTATGTAGACTTCCACTCTGAGTAAAGCTCCTTCCACACTCAAGGCATGTATAGGGTTTCTCCCCAGTATGAGTTCTTTGATGTTTACGTAGACTTCCACTCTGAGTGAAGCTCTTTCCACACTCCAGGCATTTATAGGGTTTCTCTCCAGTATGAGTTCTTTGATGTGAACGTAGACTTCCTCTCCAAGTGAAGCTCTGTCCACACTCTAGGCATTTATAGGGTTTCTCCCCAGTGTGAGTCCTTTGATGAAATCGTAGATGTGAACTCCAAGTGAAGCTCTGTCCACATTCCAGGCATTTATAGGGTTTCTCCCCAGTATGAGTTATTTGATGGTTATGTAGACTTCCACCCTCAGCAAAACTCTGCCCACACTCCAAGCATTTCAAGGGTTTCTCCCCAGTGTGAGTCCTTTGATGTGAATGTAGAACTGAACTACAAGTGAAGCTCTGTGCACACTCCAGGCATTTGAAGGGTTTTTCCCCTGTGTGAGTTTTCTGATGGTTACGTAGATTTCCACTCTCCGTGAAGCTCTGTCCACACTCCAGGCATTTATAGGGTTTCTCACCAGTGTGAGTCCTTTGATGTCTACGTAGACTTTCACTCTGAGTGAAGCTCTGTCCACACTCCAGGCATTTAAAGGGTTTCTCCCCAGTGTGAGTCCTTTGATGTGAATATAGACCTGAACTATTAGTGAAGCTCTGTCCACACTCTAGGCAGTTATAGGGTTTCTCTCCAGTGTGAATCCTTTGATGTTTACGTAGATGTCCACTCTCAGTGAAGCTCTGTCCACACTCTAGGCAGTTATAGGGTTTCTCTCCAGTGTGAGTCCTTTGATGTGAACGTAGAGTTCCCCTCCGAGCGAAACTCTTTTCACACTCCAGGCAGTTATAGGGCTTCTCCCCAGTGTGAGTCCTTTGATGTTTATGTAGACTTGAACTATGAGTGAAGCTCCGTCCACATTCAAGGCATTTATACGGTTTCTCCCCAGTGTGAATCCTTTGATGTTTATGTAGACTTCCACTATGAGTGAAGCTCTGTCCACACTCTAGGCATTTATAGGGTTTCTCCCCAGTGTGAGTCCTTTGATGTGATCGTAGACCTGAACTATGAGTGAAGCTCTGTCCACATTCAAGGCATTTATAGGGTTTCTCCCCAGTGTGCGTCCTTTGATGTGATCGTAGACCTGAACTATGAGTGAAGCTCTGTCCACACGCCAGGCATTTATAGGGTTTCTCCCCAGTGTGAATCCTTTGATGTGAACGTAGACTTCCACTATGAGTGAAGCTCTGTCCACACACCAGGCAGTTATAGGGTTTCTCCCCAGCGTGAGTCCTTTGATGTGAACGTAGATTTCCACTATGAGTGAAGCTCTGTCCACACACCAGGCAGTTATAGGGTTTCTCCCCAGTGTGAGTCCTTTGATGTGAACGTAGATGTGCTCTCTGAGTGAAGCTCTGTCCACATTCAAGGCATTTATAGGGTTTCTCCCCAGTGTGAGTCCTTTGATGTATTTTCAGATGTGCGTGCCACCTAAACCTCTTTCCACATTCAGTACATAAATGTGCTTTCTCCTCCATGTTGACTTTATGTACATTTAATTGTAACATGGACACCCGTCACTTGTCTTTCCCTTTCTGATTACTTGCAGCAATGGTTTCAAATTACAGAAAAGGTGATTCCTTCTGAACATTAGGAAGAATTTCCTGCCTGTAAAAGCTGCTCAGCAGAGGAACTCTATGCCTCAGAGTTTAGGGGAGGCTCTTCTGGGGACTTTTCAACAGAGGCTGGCCATCTGTCAGTGGTACTTTGACTGCTTCTCCTGCATGACAGGGTTTGGACTAGATGGGCCATGCAGTCTTTTCTATGATTCTACTCTATAATCAAAAGTGAATTTAAGAATTCAGCAAGATCAGCGCCTTGAGAGGACTTCTTTTTCAAATCGGACTGGTTTGCTTATTGCACTCTGGCTTCCAAATTCCTCAATATCCACTAGATGTTGGTTTGTTTCTCGTCATGCCGGGGCGGCTCCAGAAACCCACACGTCCCTGGTCAAGAAAGAGGAAGCAAAGGGTTAAACATGAAGCCCCAAACCTCCTTGAACACAAAAATCATCCTCTTTTGCCTCCATGGAACATGTTAACAATGGAAATACCAAGACAGAGGCATGAAGAGTCTTCAAGGACATACACAGAATAATCATATTAATAATAATCTGTGGGCTTTCCACAGAAGTTGAGGAAGCAGGAACCCATTTTGTTTCCTTCTGCTTCAGGATAAGCTTTGTTTAAATTTAACTGCTTTCAGTGCTGCTTGTTTGAGAGGAGGGGCTTCCTGAGTTTAAAAATTAACAGCTTTGTTTGAGAGGCGGGGCTTCCTGGGTTTAAAAATTAACAGCTTTGTTTGAGAGGCGGGGCTTCCTGGGTTTAAAAATTAACTGCCTTGTTTGAGAGGCGGGGCTTCCTGGTTATCCTATATAAACCAGTGTTTATATAAACCAGTTACTCATACACTCATATACTTTCACCCCTGCATGCAGACAACAACATCAAACACACACCAAGAGGAGGTCATTAGCAACCTCCAGATGGAACAAACGCGAAAACTTCCCGTCTCATGCACAAGCTGTGGCATGTTCAGCTTTTTCACACTACATTTACTCAATGACATCTGCCCCAAGTGTAAACAGATCACTCGCATGGAACACAGGATCCGACAACTCGAGGACCGTATTAACACCCTTAAGGACATTCAGGAACTTGTGCTGTTCTTAGACACCACACACCACACTGTCCTAGACACGCAGCCCACATCACACCAACATTACGGGGAGGCTCAACAGAACAGCACCTCAGATGTGGACAACCCTCAGGCTTGGAGAAATGTCACCCTTAGAAGGACACATAGGACCCGGAAGCCTCCTCAGAATACTTCCGCTCAGCTGCAGTTACACAATAGATTCCAAATTCTCACACAACTATCACCTGACCAAGAAACACAACATATTGGGGAAGACCAGAATGGCTTAGATACTGATCAGTGGCTCATCCTTGATCAGTGTGCAGGGGATAGCCCTGACTGGGACAACACTTCACAACATTCACACTTGCACAATCCTGCAGGTGTACCATCCCCAACCATAGACCAGGAGCAACAGGAACACATACAGGAGAACCATAGGCTCTTGGACAAATCTCAATGGATTGTCCTTGATGAATGCACCGGGGATGTCGAGGAGGAGGACAACACTTTTCACCTACACAATTCACACCAACACGATCACTTTTCTGGAGACCTACACACTACATTGCACAAAAGGGGCCCTGTCATTCCCGAAAGTAAACAGGTCTTGGTAGTAGGCGACTCCCTCCTTAGAGGAATGGAAGCTGTCATTTCCAGACCAGATGGGATGGCTCGAGAAATATGCTGCCTACCGGGGGCAAAAATACACCATATCACTCAGAGGCTCACCAGGCTCCTCAAGCCCTATCACCGTCCTCCCCTCATGTTGATTCATGTAGGAACCAATGATACTGCAAGGCATACGTTTCAAAAGATCACAAATGATTTCGAGCTCTAGGAGCAAAGCTAAAAGAATGTAATGTACAGGTGGTCTTTTCATCCCTCCTCCCTGTTGTAAGACACGGACCCACAAGAGCCAGAAAAATAGTACAGGTCAATGACTGGCTTAGAAAATGGTGTCAGGAGGAACGCTTTGGCTTCCTCGACCATGGCCTGCTTTTCCAGGAGGATGGCCTACTGACAAGGGATGGGGTGCATCTCACACAAGTAGGAAAACACCTTTTTGCTCACAGACTCGCAAACCTCATTAGACGCACTTTAAACTAGGTCCACCGGGGGAGGGGGACAACAGCCTTGCGAACACTACTTTACCCATAATGTCTGGGAATCGCCAGAAGGCTAAACGGAGGGCTGCACAAACACAACAAGGACCAAGTACCAAAAGCACAATAATCCCAATTAAACAGCTCAAGGGAAGATCCCAGGGGCTCACATGTCTTTACACTAATGCACAGAGCATGGGAAATAAACAAGACGAACTCCAACTCTTAGCACAACACCACAAATATATCATAGGGATCACTGAAACCTGGTGGGATGACTCCTATCGCTGGAATGTAGATATCGAGGGGTATAACCTCTTTCACAGAAACCGAACAAAGGGGAGAGGAGGCGGAGTAGCCTTATATGTCAAAAACTCTTATGCTGCAGAAGAGATTCAAGACAGCAATCTGGGAAACCAGCTTGAAATCATCTGGATAAGAATCAAGGGAACTGGGACTCAAAAAGATGTCGTTGTAGGCGTCTACTACAGACCCCAAGCCAGGAGGAAGAACTTGATGAAGTCTTCTGCCAACAGTTGACCAAACAGGCACAGAGAAGAGATGTAGTAGTCATGGGAGATTTCAACTATCCCGATATTTGCTGGAAAACAAACTCGGCCAAGAGTACAAAGTCCAACAAATTCCTCGCTTGCCTTGCAGACAATTTCATGGTCCAGAAGGTAGAAGAGGCAACAAGGGGATTGGCTACTCTTGATCTCATCCTAACAAATGCGGAGGACCTGATCGATGCGGTCGAAGTGGTAGGATCCTTAGGGGCAAGTGACCATGTGCTCCTGCAATTTGAGGTACAAAGGAAGGCCGAAACTAAGACAAGTCAAACCCGCATTTTGGACTTTAGGAGAGCTGATTTCCAAAAAATGAAGGAAACGCTGAGCAGCATTCCGTGGACACAGATACTAAAAGACAAGGGAGTTACGGATGGATGGGAATTTCTCAAGAGTGAAATACTCAAGGCGCAATTGCAAACCGTGCCAACAAAGAGAAAAAATAGGACAAGTGCAAAGAAGCCAGAATGGATGTCCAAAGAACTTCTAACTGTGCTAAGACACAAAAGAGACATGCACAAGAAGTGGAAAAAGGGAGAAATCACCAAAGAAGAATTCAAACAAATAGCCAACACCTGTAGGGAAAAGGTCCGCAAGGCTAAAGCAAAAAAACGAGCTCAGACTTGCCAGGGACATTAAAAACAATAAAAAGGGCTTCTATTCTTATGTCAGTAGAAAAAGGAAAAACAAGGAGGCGATAGGACCTCTTCGAGGAGAAGATGGGGCAATGCTGACAGGGGATAGGGAAAAGGCAGAACTACTTAATGCCTTCTTTGCCTCGGTCTTCTCACAAAAAGAGAGTCTTCAACCTCAGCAAGATGGAGTGGATGAGGGATTGGAGGACATCCAACCCCAAATTGGGAAAGAAGTCGTCCAGGAATACCTGGCCGCTCTTAATGAGTTCAAGTCCCCAGGGCCAGATCAACTCACACCCCAGAGTATTGAAGGAACTAGCGGAAGTCATTTCGGAACCATTGGCAATCATCTTTGAGAGTTCTTGGAGAACGGGAGAAGTTCCAGCAGATTGGAGGAGGGCCAATGTGGTCCCAATCTTCAAGAAGGGAAAAAAGGATGACCCAAACAACTACCGTCCGGTCAGCCTCACGTCGATACCAGGCAAGATTCTGGAAAAGATTGTTAAGGAAGCGGTCTGCAAACACTTAGAAACAAATGCGGTCATCGCTAATAGTCAACATGGATTTATCAAAAACAAGTCATGCCAGACTAATCTGATCTCTTTCTTCGATAGAGCTACAAGCTGGGTAGATGCGGGGAATGCCGTGGATGTAGCGTACCTGGATTTCAGTAAGGCCTTCGACAAGGTCCCCCATGACCTTCTGGCAAGGAAACTAGTCCAATGTGGGCGAGGCAAAACTACGGTGAGGTGGATCTGGAATTGGTTAAGTGGACGAACACAGAGAGTGCTCACTAATGCTTCCTCTTCATCTTGGAAAGAAGTGACAAGTGGAGTGCCTGCAGGGTTCCGTCCTGGGCCCGGTCCTGTTCATCTTTATTAATGACTTAGATGAAGGGTTAGAAGGCATGATCATCAAGTTTGCAGACGACACCAAATTGGGAGGGATAAACAATACTCCAGAGGACAGGAGCAGAATTCAAAACAATCTTGACAGATTAGAGAGATGGCCAAAACTAACAAAATGAAGTTCAACAGTGACAAATGCAAGATACTCCACTTTGGCAGGAAAAACGAAATGCAAAGATACAGAATGGGTGACGCCTGGCTCGAGAGCAGTACGTGTGAAAAAGATCTTGGAGTCCTCGTGGACAACAAGTTAAACATGAGCCAACAATGTGATGTGGCAGCAAAAAAAGCCAATGGGATTTTGGCCTGCATCAAGAGGAGCATAGTGTCTAGATCTAAGGAAGTAATGCTACCCCTCTATTCTGCTTTGGTTAGACCACATCTGGAATATTGTGTCCAATTCTGGGCACCACAATTCAAGAGAGATATTCACAAGCTGGAATGTGTCCAGAGGAGGGCGACTAAAATGATCAAGGGTCTGGAGAACAAGCCCTATGAGGAGCGGCTTAGGGAGCTGGGCATGTTTAGCCTGAAGAAGAGAAGGCTGAGAGGAGATATGATAGCCATGTATAAATATGTGAGAGGAAGCCACAGGGAGGAGGGAGCAAGCTTGTTTCTGCTTCCCTGGAGACTAGGACACGGAACAATGACTTCAAACTACAAGAGAGGAGATTCCATCTGAACATGAGGAAGAACTTCCTGACTGTGAGAGCCGTTCAGCAGTGGAACTCTCTGCCCCGGAGTGTGGTGGAGGCTCCTTCTTTGGAAGCTTTTAAACAGAGGCTGGATGGCCACCTGTCAGGGGTGATTTGAATGCAATATTCCTGCTTCTTGGCAGAATGGGGTTGGACTGGATAAAGGCCCATGAGGTCTCTTCCAACTCTTTGATTCTATGATTCTATTAATAATGTATATGTAAACTACCCAATCTCCCCAAAGGGACCCAGCGTGGTTTCCAACCTGTATGGCAAACATTCAAAACAGGATAACATCAGAACAAACCATATAAAAGCAGCCTAACTCTAAAACTTAGTAACAAACAAGTCATGCAACAATGCAAACTTAAATAACCTATCCGGTTATACATGTGACACTAAATAAAGGCAACTGAGAACGATACCTGGGACCCTTATGAAAAGGTGACGTGTTATGCAACAAGCAGCGGTCTGAAGTCAGATCCAGTCTTTAGGCAAGGTTTAACCTATCTAGGCGAAAGTATAAGCAAGAGCATATTAGTCTCCCTCCTCTCCATACACCAAAGTGCACAGGTGGGTTTTCAGCAGTTTTCGAAAAGCGAGGAGAGAGGGAGCAGTTTAAAATTCATTTGGGAGGGAGTTCCAGAGGCCAGGAGTGATCACGGAGAAGGCCCCGTCTCTCAGTCCCACCAGCCACTCTTGACACAGGGGTGGGACTGAGAGCAGGGCCTCCTCTGCGGATCACAAGGCTCAGGCCGCTTTGTATACAGACACGAGCCTCTGTAAACAGTCTGGGCCTGAACCGTTCAAGGCATTAAGGGTAACGACCAGCACTTTGTATTTAGCCTGGAAGTGGATCAGCAGCCAGTGGAGCTGCCACAGCATGGGAGTTGTCCTCTCACGGTATGGCGCTCCGGCTAGCAATCTGGCTGCCGATCCCTGCACTAATTACAGCTTCCAAACTATCTTCAAAGGCAGCCCCACGTAGAGAGTGTTGCAGTATTTATTATTTATTTATTTACTTCTTTTGTATACCGCAAATATCAGCCTAAAAAGGCGACTCGAAGCAGTAGTTCAAATGAGATGTGACTAAGGCGTGGACTACCATGGCCACTGAGACACAACCACCAGCATCCAAGGAAATACAGTAAAGAATTCTTGGGCAGGAGGGACCTATATTTTATTATCCCACCACTGCCACCATTAAATATATGTGGAACACACCACACCCAAAACAACTGGGCAATGAGGAGAGTAAATAGTAGAGGTGTGTGTAGCGTAGTTGTGGCTGAGCACTTTATTATTTAAATATATATGCTAGTGTGAAGCTGGAGAGAGACTTGTATGGGGATTGAATGAGAGAGGTTTGACTTTCAAAACACCTTGTTTGTGACATTCCAAAATATGTATCCCAATAACAAACTGATTCGTGTTCCAAAATTATTTATTTATTTATTTACAGCTTTTATATTCGGCCATCTCCTTTGATGTAAATCTTCACTTCATTAACTTGACACAAGTCATTGTTATAAGAAATTTTATTCTCAGGCACGTAAAGCTTATTGGTTACACAGTAGTTTCTTCACAGTACATAGATCTACAAAGTACACCAAAAAACGAGCACACAGACCTGGGTCTAATTCTAAGAATCTGGCCCTGAGTTGTGTCCCTAATTGCTCTGTTCCCCTCAGATAACCCTACGCAACCACACTTCTGCTTTGGCAAGTCTTTTAATTCATACACCCCACAACTGACATTTGCCCCTGTTGTTGTTGTGAAGTAGTGATAAGGCGGCCCCGACCTTCCTTCCAGTGGGAGCATGACGTCTTCCATCTCTGAGGCAAAACGCCGCTTGCTGCAGTGATCCTCTCTTCGAGGCAATTCTGTTTCTAGGTGGCTCTCCGGTATTCCTATGAAACAAAACTCTGGTCTCACTGAAAACGAAACCTTAACCATTTGTGTCTAGCATCGTATGCTTTTGAGCCCAATATTTCCGGGCCTTTCTGCAAAGGCACCCCAATATGATAAGAGGACCCCAAGAGTGTGCTCTCAGTTGTCAGCATTCATGAGCATGCCATTGTCTTGTTCAATCAGAGCCTTCCAAACTGTGTGCCATGACACACGCGTGTCTGCTGTAGTCCACAGGTGTGTTGCATGAAAAATGGTTCCCCCCAATGGACGAGACCCTCAAAGGGCCTTTAGCCAGGCAGGAAGGCACAGTCAAAGCCCTCCCAACAGACAGCCATACAACTTCAGCTCAAAAACCTCCAGAGGAGACTCCGCACTCCAAGGCAGTCTATACTTCACTGGGGTTGGAAGAGACCCCCAAAGGGCACTGAGTCCAGCCCCCTTCTGCCAACCCGGAGGGCCACCCGACCTCTGTTTAAAGATATCCACAAAGGCTAAATCGCTAAAGCCCTTTGTGATGAGAAAACCACATGGAGCAGCTTTAGAGGAAACTACAAAAGAATTGTATATACAAAAAGAGTATATGAAACCTATCTCTATATATTATTATATTATATATATTGAAAATCTTATATGGGATTGGTTTAACCTCTGGTTTCTTAAACTGAACTACCATGTCACGAAAGGATGCATGTCTAAAGAGTGTAAACAACATGAAAAGCTTGGAGAGTGGTATTTAGGTCAAATGCCATAGTGGTCTCCAGTGAAAATCTATGTATATGTAGGTTGAACTCTCAGAGAGGCTCTTTCAACACTCCACGCTTTCATGGGGTTTCTCCCCAGTGAGGCCTTTGATGTAAACGTACACTTCCACTCTGAGTGAAGCTCTATCCACATTCTAGGCATTTATAGGGTGGGTTTCTCCCCAGTGTGAGTCCTTTTATGTGAATGCAGACCTGCAATATGAGTGAAGCTCTGTCCACACTCCAGGCATGTATAGGGCTTCTCCCCAGTGTGAATCCTTTGATGTTTACGTAGACTTCTACCCTCAGTGAAGCTCCAGCCACACTCTAAGCATTTATAAGGTTTCTCCCCAGTGTGAGATCTTTGATGTGAACGTAGGCTTTCACTGCGAGTAAAGCTCTTCCCACACTCCAGGCATGTATAGGGTTTCTCCCCAATATGAGTCTTTTGATGTCTATGTAGACTTCCACCCTTAGTGAAACTCTGTCCACACTCCAGACATTTATAGGGTTTCTCCCCAGTGTGAGTTCTTTGATGTGAACGTAGGCGTTCACTGCGAACAAAGCTCTTCCCACACTCCAGGCATTTAAAGGGTTTATCTCCAGTGTGAGTCCTCTGATGTCTTTGTAGATTTCCCCCCTGAGTGAAGCTCTGTCCACACTCCAGGCATGTATAGGGTTTCTCCCCAATATGAGTCTTTTGATGTCTATTTAGACTTCCACTCTCAGTGAAATTCTGTCCACACTCCAGGCATGTATAGGGTTTCCCTCCAGTGTGAGTTCTTTGATGTGAATGTAGATGTCCCCTCTGAGTGAAGCTCTGTCCACACTCCAGGCATTTATAGGGTTTCTCCCCAGTGTGAATCCTTTGATGGGAACGTAGAGTTGAACTAAGAGAGAAGCTCTTTCCACACTCCAGGCATTTATAGGGTTTCTCCCCAGTGTGAATCCTTTGATGTGAATGTAGAGATGAACTACGAGTGAAGCTCTGTCCACACTCGAGGCATGTATAGGGTTTCTCTCCCATGTGAGTCCTTTCATGTTGGTGAAGAGAATCCCTCCGACTGAAATTCTTTCCACACTCCAGGCATTGAGATGCTTTCTCCTTCATATTAACAGTGATATGGGTGTATTAATTGCAACACAGAAACTTGACTCTTCCTGTTTTCTTTTCGTGTCTGTAAGACAGGTCACAAATTCAGCAACATCTTCACCTTGAGATGATTTCTTCATACATTCCTGGTTTCCTTCCTCAACCCAAGAGTTGGCTCCATAGAATCCTCATTTCCCTGGTCAAGAAAGAAGCAAAAGGTCAAGTGTTGGGGCCAAAAATGTGTAAAGTGAATTTCACAAATTAGAATGGGTTACTGAGGAATGTAAAGAGAAAAGAGCAAAGAGGAGCAGAAAGGAGTGAAGGAACGTAGATAGGCAGTGGTTGTGGAGTGCCGGGAAAAGACATCTGGGTGAGAGGTAGAAAGAGATATCAAGTTGACCTGAAAAGATGGGAGTGGGAAGAAGACGTGAGCAGAATGGGAAGAAATGGCTTTCAGAATTGCGCAGAAAGAATAGTTATGCTTTGCTTTGGAACAAAGAGAACACAAGGGATTGTTGATAGAACAAAAGGGAAAACAAGAGGGTGTTTATGAGCAGAAAGAGAGAGGCATTGGAGCAGAGGTGACAAGCTCTGAGGAGAAAAACGGGAAGGAAGGTTTCGATATCACGTGTATGCGTGTGCATCTCGGCATCAAATTGAGACTATAAGATCCATGACCGAGAGACAGAGAAACGTGGCACTTTTCTTGACGCTATCTTTGGCTCCTGACACCAACCCCCTTTCTGCCATCGCAGGAAAAGCACCACCCAAGCCTTCCTGGCAGATGGCCACCCAGCTCCATAGGCATGATGATCTGCCTATCTGTCCATATGGCCATCTGTCGGGAGGCAGCCCTATGGACTGACAGGCAGAGGAGTTTATGTATTGTTTATGTATTACGGAGGAGATTACGACGACGCCTTTCTCCAGGACGGGCCCAAGGCGGCTCACATCGCATTACACATATACAAACCAATAATTAAAAACTGTAAATAAACACATATTAGAGAGGTTCCATGATCCTTAAAAACTTCCCATATTATCAAACACTGAAAGTTCAAATCGGTGTAAACTTCCCACTGGGTTGTATCCGCAAGTGCCTGGCTTCAGTCCAAGCTGCTGCAAAGAGGGAAGTCTTCCCGCCTTCCCACCCTGTCACGAGGGGGGGAGCAGATCTGGTTTCCTCACAGAGTTGGGAAGGACCCACCCAGGGCCCCCCGGTCCAAGGAAGGAAGGGAGGAAGGCACCCCCCAAGCCCTCTTGGCAAAGGGCCATCCTGCCTCCAATGAAAGAGGGCTGAGACCAGGAGCATTCACCCCTTCTGCTCGGCCTTGCTGTCTGCAGCAGCAGCATTGGTGTTTCTTCAGGTGGAGATGGACTGCTTCCTCTGGCCCTTCGGCCACATCTGGACCACGGCCTTCCACCAGATGCCCCTCGCCTGCTACTAAGGCAACCAGGGCGAGCACTTCCTGCCTGCCCTGCGGCTCTGTCTCTCCCCCCCCCCCCCCCCGCCACTTCAAGGCCTCCCTCCCTCCCCAATGTATTTACTGAGGCAGGAAATGGGGAAGGAACAGACCCTTCCTTCCTCCCTCCCTCCCTCCCTCACGTGGCCTGATCTGCTGGGGCTTCTCACCCCAACCTGAAACCTTTCCCATAAATCTCTGCAGCTGCGCCTGGTCTTCTCTGGTTCTCCGCGCTGGGCACCATGGCCTCTGGCGCAGGCCAGCCAGGACTGAGAGCAGGGCCTCCCCAGAAGAGTTGTTATATTTCTTATTATAGATGAGAAGAACTCTGCAACCTCAGCCACACCCAGCGTTTCCTCCTTCCTTCCTTCCTTCCTTCCTTCCTTCCTTCCTTCCTTCCTTCCTTCGTGTCCAGTCAGGAATCCCTTGGATGTTCCTCCATCAACTTGCAAACCTTTGAAACCCTCTTGAAAATGGAAAACCCCAAGGAAATACTTTCAGAGACAGAATACTCCTCTTTGCTATTCATTCTATTATTATTATTATTATTATTATTATTATTATTATTATTATTAACTTTATTTGTACCCCGCTAGCATCTCCCGCAGGACTTGATGCGGCTTACACAGGCCGAAGCCTCAAAACACAATACAATAAAACATAACACAATAATAAACAAAGCAAATCAAACAATTAGCAAAACAACAATGACAATACATCAAGACACTATTAAAACTGGTTCGGCCGGCGCAATGGGGTACAGGGGTTAAAGTGCTGAAATGGCAGGAGGAACATAGGATTAGAGGTATGGTGTGCAGTAACATCGGTTGTACTAAAGTGCTTCTAGGACTTGGGATGGGGGATTCCTAATCTGAAAAGGCACATCGGAACAGCCAGGTTTTTAGGTTCCTTCTGAAAACTGCTAGAGTAGGGGCCTGTCGGAGATCTTTTGGAAGGGCATTCCAAAGTCGGGGGGCCGCCACAGAGAAGGCCCTGTCCCGTGTCCCCACCAAGCGCGCTTGCGACGTGGGTGGGATCACGAGCAGGGCCTCCCCAGATGATCGGAGTGAGCGTGTGGGTTCGTAGATGGAGATGCGGTCACGCAGGTAGGGTGGTCCCAAACCGTTCAGGGCTTTGTAGGTGAGCACCTGCACCTTGAATTGGGCTCGGAAAATAAATGGCAGCCAGTGGAGCTCCTTAAACAGAGGGGTAGACCTCTCTTGATAATGAGCCCTGGTTAGCATCCTGGCTGCTGCCCGCTGGACCAATTGAAGTTTCCGAGCCGTCTTCAAGGGCAGCCCCACGTAGAGCGCATTGCAGTAATCCATTCTAGAGGTGACCAAGGCGTGGACCACCCCGGCCAGATCTGCCTTCACGAGGTACGGTCGCAGCTGGCGCACAAGTCTCAATTGTGCAAAGGCCCTCCCGGATACCGCCGACACCTGAGCCTCAAGTGTGAGCGAAGAATCCAAGAGGACACCCAAACTGCGGACCTGTGGCTTCAGGGGGAGTGTAACCCCGTCCAACACAGGTTGCCACCCTATACCCCGATCCGGTTTACGATCGACCAGGAGGATCTCTGTCTTGTCGGGATTGATCTTCAGCTTGTTCTTCCTCATCGAACTGCAAAGACTGCGGCACAAGCCAGTCAAGGGGGTCCCAGTGGGGATGGGCACACTGGGCGCAGTGCCTCAAGACCTTGGCCTGCACTTAAACATAATCGGCGCTGACAAGATTACCACCTGCCAGCTGCAGAAGGCCACCTTACTGGGATCTGCATGCATTATTCGCCGATACATCACACAGTCCTAGACACTTGGGAAGTGTCCGACGTGTGATCCAATACAACAGCCAGAAGAGTGTCTGCTGTGGACTCATCTTGTGGGGTCTCTAATAATAATAATAATAATAATAATCTTTATTTCTACCCCACCACCATCCATCTCCCTGAAGGGGACTCGGGGCGGCTTAAATGAGGCCAAGCCCAACAACGCAATGCAATGAATGAAATCAAGACACAATCAACAACATTATAAAGGACTTAAAACATAAGAATACCCCGGTGGCGCAGTGGGTTAACCCCTGTGCTGGCAGGACTGAAGACCGACAGGTCGCAGGTTTGAATCCGGGGAGAAGCGGATGAGCTCCCTCTATCAGCTCCAGCTCCTCATGCAAAGGGGGCATGAGAGAAGCCTCCCACAAGGATGACAAAAACATCAGAATCATCCGGGCGTCCCCAGGGCGACGTCCATGCAGACAGCAAATTCTGTCACACCAGAGGCGACTTGCAGTCTCTCAAGTCACTCCTGACACGACAAAAAACAAAAACATCAACCAGCAAACAATATAAAATCCCAACATAATCATTCCTGACAGAGTCCCAATGAAAGACTAAAGCTGAAAACACGGGGTGAGAGAGAGATGGAGAGGGTGGTTTGTGGGGGGGGGGGGACTCCCTCCTGAGGAAGGGGGGCGAGGAGGGCGGGGGCAGCCAGGCCTTGAAGCTGCGAGGCTGTTCAGGGCTTCTCCCCAAGGGGGCCCACGGCAACAACACTCCCCATGCTGCTGGCCTCCCGCAGGCAAGAGTTCCTTCTTCTTCCGCCCTCCCGGAACACACGATTCCATGGGGATATGTCCCCCCCCCCCGCCGAGGGAGCCTGCCTGTCAGAGATGCAGGGGAAACGTCAGGAGAGCGTGCTTCTGGAGCCTCATGACCGGGCAGCCCCACGGAAGACTCCCTCCCGGGGAGTCCGGCCAGGAGAGCCTTCCTTCCTTCCTTGGGGGAGGCCAGGCGGGGAGGGAGGGAGGAGGGGGCCAGGCCCGGGCCTACTTGGGCCTTCCTTCCTTCCTTCCAGGCCTCCTCAGGCGCTTTCCTTTCCCCTCAGGCGCTGAAGAGGGAGGGAGGGAGGGAGGGAGGAGGCCCCGAGGAATGGGGAGCCGGAGTCCGAAGAGGGGCTCTCCCGGGGAGGAGGAGGGCCGGGCTGGGCCGGGCTGAGCGAGCGAGGCCTACTACTACTGCGACGGGCTCACCTCTCTGTCTCTCTGTCTCTGTCTCTCTCCATCCGGGGCTTCTCCGCCTCAGGGAACAATGGCGGCGGCTTTGGCGGCAGGAGAGGCTGTGCTGAGGCCGCCGAGAAGGCCCGCCCCCTCCGCCCTCCCATTGGCCGAGCCCGCGCCGCCCCGCCCACCGGACGCCCCCCATTGGCCGCCCGCCGCTCTGCAGCCTTGATTGACGGGGCGCCCGAAGAAGAAGGGGAGAAGAAGATGGCGGCCTCCCTCTGAGGAGAGAGCAAGAGGGGAAGCCCACACACCCGAGGCAGGGACGGAGGGAGGGACGGAGGGAGCTGGCCCAGGCCGGCAGGAGGAGCCCAACGCCCGCCCATGCCGGGGGACCCCATCGCTGAGCGCGACCAGGAGCAGGGAGAACACTGCTGCGGGGAGTTCCGCGGGACAACGTGGCTCCCGATGAGTTTCCAGCACGGAAGGCACCCCGCAGCAGCCCCCGGCGCCCAGGAAGCTCCACTACCTCCCCCCTCCCCCCCCCCCCCGCTCCCCACATTGCCTCTAACCCTCAATGAATGTCCCAGAAGCATTCTCTCCTGACGTTCCGCCCACCCCAATGGCGGCAGGTCTCCTCAGAGGGGGAGGGGTCTGCCTGTGGGAAGCTAGGCCGGGGTGGGGGGTTAGATCTACCTACCTACCTACCTATGTATCTATCTATCCCTGGGGGAAAAAACTCTTGCCTGCTTGAGGCAAGTGTGAATCGCCTTGCTTAGCACTGCAAAGCCTTGCAGCTCCCAAGCCTGGCTGCTCCCTCCCTGCCTCCCTGCCTGCCTGGGGATCCCTTCCTGGGAGGAGGCGATGAGCTGGCCCTCATGGCCCCCCTCCTCCTGGGACCCCCTCTTCCCAAGTGTGGCTCTCGGCTTGCTGCCCTGATCCTGGAGTGTTCTCAGCACCGCTTCTCATGGGTCCCACGGGCTTCTTCTTCTCTGCCTCGCCTGGCACCGTGAGGGTGGTGGTAATGGTCAGTGCCCATCCGGGTTGGCCAACGACCACCTGACCTCTCACAGACAAGAGTTCTCCTCCCTCCCTCCCTCCCGGGACACCTTTCCCCAGACAGACATGCCCTCCACCTGCCTCGTTTCCAGGAGACCCTCAACCTCTGAGGATGCCTTTTGCTACAGGTGCAGGTGAAACATCAGGAGAGAATGCTGCCGGAACAGGGCCAGGCAACCCGGAAGACTCACAGCCAGCCTTTGACATTGGAAAGAGCGACTGCCGTGACCTGATGGCCTCCCCCATTGACTGACCTTGAGGCTGTCCTTACACCTGGGCCAACTTGGGGCCCCCTCCCCCCTCCAGTGTTTTGGACTCCAACTCCTACCATTCCTCACACCCTTTTCCTTTCCTCTTAAGCGGCTGAGGGGGAAAGGAAGGGGCCTGAGGCTGTGAGGAATGGTGGGAGTTGGAGTCCAAAAAGGTTTTAAATTGAATTAATGTTTTATCCATTGTAATTATTGTATTTTATTATGTGTGTATAGGGACATCCAATCGTTGCTGGCTGTAAGCCTCCCTGAGTGCCACCCCCCCGGGGGTGGGGGGTGTTTGTGAAGGGTGGGTACAAATATTTGAAATAAAATAAATAGTGATAGTATTAACAACAAAACACCCGGAGGGATGGGCGGAGTTGGCCCCCACTTGCCTGAGATGAACTGACCAAGTGACCTGCTTCCCTGGCTCACCACTCTAGCGGAGTCCAAAAACTGCCCTTTTCTCCATTTCCACGGCCGTTCCCTTCCCTTCCTGGCGAGTGGGTCTGAAGGGGCCCCACTCCCCTTCCCCACCACCCACGACACACCCCACTCCCCTCTCCCTCTTATCCAAACAGTGTTTCCCCTCATAGGCCCGTCCTTGCACCAAGCCCTGGGTCCCACACGTGGTGCCCGCCCCAGTTCCTGCTGAAAAACATACGCATTGCAATTCAAATAGTCTTTCAAACGACGAAAGCATGTCAAACATACCAAAACTCTCACAGTAACTGACCACCATTCTTCCGTCTTCCTTATGGGCCACCTTGACCCCCAAAGGCTTGCTTCGGTAGCCGGTCACCTCAAGACTCTTCCTGACGCTTAAGAGCGAGGCAGCGGTTCTGATGCCACGGGGGAGGGGGTTCCACAGCCCGGGAGGGGCACCTCCGCGAAGGAAGGACCCGCCGTCTCTCGTCCCCGCCAACTGGGGCTGCGATGGAGCCGGGACCCGGCTGCTCACTGGAAGGAAGGATACTAGAGACAAAGTTGAAGTACTTTGGCCACATCATGAGGAGACAGCAAAGCTCTGAGAAGACAATGATGCTGGGGAAAGTGGAAGGCAAAAGGAAGAGGGGCCGACCAAGGGCAAGATGGATGGACGGCATCCTTGAAGTGACTGGACTGACCTTGAAGGAGCTGGGGGTGGTGACGGCCGACAGGGAGCTCTGGCGTGGGCTGGTCCATGAGGTCACGAACAGTCGGAGACGACTGAACGAATGAACAACAACACAACAAATTATAGATCAGAATAATGTAATAAGAAATTCAATGTGCAAATTTGATAAATGTGAATTTAATAATGGGAATGAATGGAAGGATGCGTGGTTGGAGTTAATAATTTTGTAAGCACCCGTATAATATTAAGGCCTGCAATGACTAACTCCCTGCTTGCTGCTTTGTGATTAAAACCTGTTAATGAGATCGGAAGAGTAAACTCTGATAAGAACTGGGAGAGTGATAAAGGAAATGTTTGCAACCTTCCTTAAGTTAAGAAGGAAGTCAACACAAGCCTTGTGTTTGTTAACACCCATCAAGATCAACACTGAGGTGGATCCAGGATGGAAGACGTCTATCATTCATTTACAACTTTGGGACGACATCAACAGAATATTTCTATAAAAGACTCAGACTAATAATGCTCAAAGTGTGGCAGACCTGAGGAGTCTGTCCACCGCCATGCTCTGCTCCATGGGAAGGACAGAGGTGGTGTATTCGGAGAGTGTCAGATGTGCTATGGGAAAGCAGGATTCTGGTCACTTTGGGGCTTCTTTCTCAAGGGAAGAGGAAGAAAGAGTGCGCTTTTGGAGTCTTGGACTTTGTGCAGGGAATCAGGTTCTGCTGTGTGGAAAACAGAGATCTGGTCCTTGGCATTGTGCTTAGGGAAAGAAGTTTTGGCATTTCGGTGTTTTGAAGTTTTGGCGTTATGGAAGTAATACTAATAACAATAATAAACCTTTATTTATACCCCGCTACCATCTCCCAAAGGACTCGGTGCGGCTTACAAGAGGCCGAGACCCAATACATCAATAAACAGCACAACAACAATACAACAGTAGGTAACTCAAGCAATAAACATTAACAATAACAACATGACGCAATTAAAACCAATGTCAGGGCCAGATGTAATGGTTAAAATTTAAGAAGCTGGGCATGACCGGGTATTTATTTATTTGTCGTGTCAGGGCAACCAGTCAATTACCAGTCAATGACCGGGTGAAATGGATAGATATTTTGGAGATAGGTAGGGCGTGCAGACAGTCCTAGATCTCTAGTAAAGTGCATTTGGGACAAAGTGCTTGGAGTTTCCTATTCTGGGAAGGCGCACTGGAACGGCTACATTTTCAAGCTCCTCCTAAAGACTGCCAATGTTGGGCCATGCCTGATATCCTTGGGGAGTGAGTTCCAGAGTCGAGGGGCCACCACAGAACAGGCCCTGTCCCTTGTCCCCACCAATCGTGCTTGCGATGCAGGTGGAATCGCGAGCAGGGCCTCGCTGGAAGATCAAGAGATTGTGTGGGTTCGTATACAGAAATATGATCACACAGGTAGGCAGGTCCCAAACCGTTTAGGGCTTTGTAGGTAAGCACCTGGATCTTGAATTGGGACCGGAAAATGAACAGCAACCAATGGAGCTCCTTAAACAGGAGGGTTGACCTCTCCCTGTAAGGAGCACCAGTTAACAATCTGGCCGCCTCTCGTTGGACCAATTGGAATTTCCGGGTTGTTTTCAAGGGCAGCCCTACGTAGAGTCCATGGCGATGGACTGCCGAAAGACTACTGCGACCTCCTCCTCCCCGTCACCCAGACCTAGCCTGCTGGTGAACCCCGAATTATGGAATGATGCCTTGGCAGGCTGCAGGAAATCAGGGTCTGGCCTGACAGGTGCTTCTCCAAGGAGGGAGAAAAGGATATGGTAATATTTGGATGCATGTGGACGAATGCATGTACATGTGTGTGAATGTAATTCCCCTTTGTTTGTTTGTAAACCAATGTAATTGTAAATCCAATGTAGTTGCATAGAATCTGTATGTCTATCTGTGCAATGTCATTCTTTGTCTAAATGTTTTTCTGTAATCTGATATACCTTCTCACACTGGAAATTGCAATAAAAAAACCTATGCTTCAAAGTCATTGAAAAGTCATTCATGACAATAACTCTCCAAACTCAGCCACATCCAGCGTTTCCTCCTTCCTTCCTTTGTGTCAAAGTCAGGAATCCCTTGGATGTTCCTTATAAAGGAGTCGAGGCTTTATTTGGAAAATAAAAATCCCAAAAGCTGAACACCACGTAGATTGGAATGAGGCTTCTGTCATTAAAAACTGGAAGGAAAGCGGAAACTTTCTACTGGCCAAAAAACCTTTTGAAAACCCTCTGGCCACACCAAAATTAAAAGCACTGTTCAGCCCTTGGCTTACTTGAGGTATCTCAGGTAAGAGTGTATTGGATTAGCCCTCAGGCTTGTGTTCTGAGGTAAAGATGGTTCTTTAAAATTATACACTGCCACCATAGACTCTTGATTGTTGCAGGAAACGGCTTTTAAAACTTCACCCACAGAGGCACACGTGAGGCAGTTGTTGTGAGCAACAAAACAATGGTGTTTATTTAAGAGAACTGGAACAATTCAGGTATCAAGCTTAGCTGTTTCAAAATACTGACTTAAAAGCGTGTGGTTACTCTAAACAGTTCAGACTTAGTTACACATGAGACACTTCTCTCTCCCTCCACTTCCTCTCTGACAGTAACTTCTAACCTCCTCCACACAGACAGCCCTTGTCCTTTGGGACCTGTCTCTCCACTTCCCAGGTATCCTTCCCAAAGAGCTGTAATCTTCTCACTGGCTATCTCTGCTAGCCAACTGACCAATCCCAGGCCCCTCTCTCTAACCCTCTTCACCACTCCAAACTCCTAACACCTTCTCCCTTTGACACCCAGGTTCACTCTCATTGACGGGGTTTCAAAACCTTTACCTTAAAGTCATTTTTTTTTCTTTTGCCAAGTTAGGCTCTGCCCACTCTCACTCAGCCAATTACAGTCCTCCCTCATTTCCCTCCAAAACTGCTCTTTAGTTACTCATTTCCCCTTCAGGAAATGAGTAACTAAAATGGATTCCCCCGGCACCTTTTCCAAAATGGCTGCCCAACTTCCTTGGCCTACTTTTCTAGGCTTTTCCTAGCCTAACAGAAAGGGAAGTCACTACATTCCTCCATCAACTTGTAAACCTTTGAACCCCTCTTGAAAATGGAAAACCTCAAGCCAATACTTTCAGAGACAGAATACTCCTCTTTGCTATTCATTCCATTATTATTATTATTATTATTCTGACACGAACACACAGCATGTCACAGCAAACGAGATCTGTATGCTGGATTTCACATCACAGAATCACAAGTCGAACACTTCCCAAGCGTTAAGGACTATGTGATGTATTTTCAAATGATGCACACAGATCCATTTCAGGAGGCCTTTTGTGGTTGACGGATCATGATTTTGTCAATGTTTATCGTTCTCAAATGCCGGCTGAGATCTTTTGGCACGGCGCCCAGTGTGCCGATCCCCACTGGGACCGCCTGGACTGGTTGATGCCAGAGCCTTTGCCATTCGATTTTGAGGTCCTGTTGCTATTACTATTACAGTTGTTGTGCCTGTGAACCCAGATTCTGTCTTCTAAAAATACATTTAAGTTACTCAGCATTCTAAGCATCTTCCCAATTCTGTTTCTAGGTGACTCTCCAGCATTCCTACGAAACAAAACTCTGGTCGCATTGAAAACTAAATCTTAACCATTTGCGTCCAGCATTGTATGCTTTTGAGTCCAATATTTCCGGGCCTCTCTGCAAAGGCACCCCAATATGATAAGAGGACCCCAAGAGTGTGCTCCCATTTTTCAGCATTAACGAGCATTACCACTGTGCGCCATGACACATGCATGTACGCTGTAGTCCACAGGTGAAATGCTGATAAGTTCAAGTGTAGGTTGAGCTATAATCTTTCATGCATAATTTGTTGATTGAGTTACATTAATTACCACTAAAATTGATATGTTTCTCATTAAGAAAATAAAACCCCTTTGTGATGAGAAAACCACATGGAGCGGCTATAGAGTAAACCGCAAAAGAATTTTATACACAAAAAAGAATATATGAAACTTATCTCTATATATTATTATATTATATATATTGAAAAACTTACATGGGATTGGTTTAATCTCTGGTTTCTTAAACTGAACTACCATGTCATGAAAGGATGCAGGTCTAAAGAGTGTAAACAACATGAAAAGCTTGGAAAGTGGTATTTCGGTCAAATGCCACTGTTGTCTCCATTGAAAATCTATGTATATGTAGGTTGAACTCTCAGAGAAGCTCTTTCAACACTCCATGCTTTCATGGGATTTCTCCCCAGTGAGTCCTTTGATGTGAACGTACACTTCCGCTGTGAGTTAAGCTCTGTCCACATTCTAGGCATTTATAGAGTGGGTTTCTCCCCAGTGTGAGTCCTTTTATGCGAATGCAGACCTGCAATATGAGTGAAGCGCTGTCCACACTCCAGGCATGTATAGGGTTTCTCACCAGTGTGAGTTCTTTGGTGTCTACGTAGATTTCTACTGTGAGTGAAGATCTGCCCACACTCCAGGCATTTATAGGGTTTCTCCCCAGTGTGAATCCGCTGATGTTTACGTAGATTTCCATTGTGAGCGAAGCTCTGTCCACATTCTAGGCACTTATAGGGTTTCTCCCCAGTGTGAATCCTTTGATGTTTACGTAGACTTCCACCCTCAGTGAAGCTCCATCCACACTCTAAGCACTTATAGGGTTTCTCCCCACTGTGTGTCCTTTGATGTGAACGTAGAGTTGAACTATGACAGAAGCTCTTTCCACACTCCAGGCATGAATAGGGTTTCTCCCCAGTGTGAGTCCTTTGATGCCTACGTAGAGATGAACTTTGAATGAAGATCTGTCCACACTCAAGGCATTTATAGGGTTTCAGTTCCATGTGAGTCCTTTCATGTTGCTGAAGAGAATCCCTCCGACGGAAACTCTGTCCACACTTCAGGAATGTATAGGGTTTCTCCCCTGTGTGAGTCCTTTGATGTGATTGTAGAGATGAACTGCGAGTGAAGGTGTGTTCACACTCCAGGCATTTATAGGGGTTCTCTCCCATGTGAGTCCTTTCATGTTGCTGAAGAGAATTCCTCCGACTGAAACTCTGTCCACACTCCAGGCATTTAAAGGGTTTCTCCCCAGTGTGAGTCCTTTGATGTGATCGTAGATCTGAACTACGAGTGAAACTCTTTCCACACTCGAGGCATTTATAAGGTTTAACCCCAGTGTGAGTCCTCTGATGTCTATGTAGATGACCCTTCTGAGTGAAGCTCTGTCCACATTCCCAGCATTTATAGGGTTTCTCCCCAGTGTGAATCCTTTGATGTGAATGTAGATTTGAACTTTGAATGAAGCTCTGTCCACACTCGAGGCATTTATAGGGTTTCTCCCCAGTGTGAGTCCGTTGATGTGAATGGACACCTGAACTCTGAATGAAGCTCTGTCCACACTCCAGGCATGTATAGGGTTTCTCCCCAGTGTGAGTCCTTTGATGTGAACGTAGAGTTGAACTTTGAATGAAGCTCTGTCCACACTGGAGGCATGTATACGGTTTCTCTCCCATGTCGCTGAAGTGAATCCCTCCGAATGAAACTCTTTCCACACTCCAGGCATGTATAGGGATTCTCCCCAGTGTGAATCCTTTCATGTGATCGTAGGTGCGAACTACGAATGAAGCTCTGTCCACACTTGAGGCATTTATAGGGTTTCTCCCCAGTGTGAGTCCTTTGATGGGAACGTAGGACTCCACTCTGACTGAAGCTCTTCCCACACTCCAGGCATTTAAAGGGTTTATCCCCAGTGTGAATCCTTTGATGGGAACGTAGAGTTGAACTCTGAGTGAAGCTTTGTCCACACTCGAGGCATGTATAGGGTTTCTCCCCACTGTGAGTCCTTTCATGTCGCTGAAGAGAATTCCTCCGACTGAAACACTTTCCGCACTCCAGGCATTGAGATTTATTTATTTATTTATTTATTATTTATTTCTTGCACTTATAGACCGCCACTCTCAGCCCTGGGGCGACTCGTGGCGGTGTACAACCACATAGAAAAGACGGCTTACAATAAAACAACAATACACAACATTCTACTACTACATAGCACTACTATACTAAAAATCCGCTTCGTCATATCATAGGGTCATAATCCGTCTCATAATCGCAGTCCATTCCGGTCGTCAATTCCAGTAACATAGCACTCAATTGAAGGCCATCTCGAAGAGCCATGTTTTCAGGCCCTTACGAAAGGCCATAAGGGAAGGCGCCTGTCTAACTTCAGCAGGGAGGGAGTTCCAAAGCCGGGGGGCCACCACCGAGAAGGCCCGCTCTCTCGTCCCCGCCAGACGTGCCTGTGAGGCAGGCGGGACCGAGAGAAGGGCCTCCCCAGATGATCTCAAGGTCCTCGTGGGCTCGTAGGCCGAGATGCGGTCCGCAAGGTATTTTGGGCCGGAACCGTTTAGGGCTTTGTAGGATAGCACCAGCACCTTAAATTGGGCCCGGTAGCAGATCGGCAGCCAGTGGAGCTGGGACAGTAGGGGCGTTGTATGCTCCCTGCGCCCTGCTCCCGTTAACAACATGGCTGCCGCGCGCTGGACTAGCTGAAGCTTCCGGGCCGTCTTCAAGGGCAGCCCCACGTAGAGAGCGTTGCAGTAGTCAAGTCGGGATGTGACCAAAGCGTGTACCACCGTGGCCAAGTCAGACTTCCCAAGATACGGGCGCAGCTGGCGCACGAGCCTAAGCTGTGCAAATGCTCCCCTGGTCACCGCTGAAACCTGGAGATCCAGGCTCAAGGATGAATCCAGGGTCACACCCAAGCTGCGAACCTGCGCCTTCAAGGGGAGTGCGACCCCGTCCAGCACAGGCTGTAACCCTATACCCTGTTCGGCCTTGCGACTGACCAGGAGTACCTCTGTCTTGTCTGGATTTAATTTCAGTTTGTTCGCCCTCATCCAGACCATTACAGCGGCCAGGCACCGGTTCAGGACCTCGACAGCCTCCTTAGTAGCAGGTGGAAAGGAGTGACAGAGTTGGACATCATCTGCGTACAGATGACACCGCACCCCGAAACTCCGGATGATCTCACCCAGCGGCTTCATGTAGATGTTAAACAGCATGGGGGACAGGATGGAACCCTGAGGAACCCCACAAGTCAAAGGCTGTGGAGTTGAACAGGAGTCCCCCACTAACACCTTCTGGGTACGACCCTCCAGAAATGAGCGGAGCCACTGCAAAGCAGTGCCCCCAAGACCCATCTCTGCAAGGCGCCCCAGAAGAATACCGTGGTCGACGGTATCGAAGGCCGCTGAGAGGTCCAGGAGCACCAACAGGGACACACTCCCCCTGTCTAGCTCCCGGCGCAGATCATCCACTAAGGCGACCAAGACCGTCTCGGTACCATGTCCCGGTCTGAAACCAGACTGTGCCGAATCCAGATAATCCGTGTCTCTCAAGAATACCTGGAGTTGTGAGGCCACCACGCTTTCCATGACTTTGCCCAAAAAGGGAAGATTGGAAACAGGCCGAAAGTTGTCGAATTTAGTGGGGTCCAATGATGGTTTCTTCAACAGCGGCTTTATAATAGCCTGTTTTAGGCTCGCTGGAATCTTGCCTTCCCGAAGGGAGGCGTTAACCACCACCGTTACCCACTCAGCCAATCCCCCTCTGGCCTCTTTCAGAAGCCAGGATGGGCAGGGGTCTAGGATGGACGTGGTGGGCCTCATTCCTCCAAGTATCTTGTCCACATCCTCGGGTTTCACAAACTGAAAAGAATCCAACAAAATAGGACAAGCAGGTGCTTGTGTCACATCCACAGAGACTGCATTTAAAGTGGCGTCCAGCCCAGAGCGGATCAAAGCGACTTTGTCTGCAAAGAACCGAGCAAATGCTTCACAGCGCGTGGCCGAATTGTCAGGGCTCCCACCTGAGGAAGGGGGAGTTAAAAGTCCTCTGACAATTCGAAACAACTCCGCCGGACGGTTTTTTGCAGACGCAATAGTAGCCGCAAAGAAAGTTTTCTTTGCGGCTTTTATTGCCGCGGCATATGCCCTTAAAAAGGACACAAACCGTGTTCGGTTTGGCTCGCTTGGGTCCGAGCGCCACACGCTCTCCAGTTCCCTCTTCCTTCGCTTCATCGCTGCCAGCTCCTCAGTAAACCAAGGAGCTGGTTTAGCTCGGTTACTTGAGAGGGGACGTTCCGGAGCGATCCTGTCAATTGCCCTGGTCATCTCCCCATTCCAGAGAGCGACCAAGGCCTCGACATGGTCACCTACCGAGGTGGCGGGAAAATCCCCAAGAGCCGTCAGGAATCCATTCGGATCCATAAGCCTCCTGGGGCGGACCATCTTAATGGGTCCTCCACCTTTGCGGAGGTCAGGGGGCGCAGTGAGCCTAAATCTGATCAGGAAGTGGTCGGTCCATGGCAACGGAGAGATAGACAGCTCCTCCACACCGCCACCCTGCTCCCATCCCTGGCAGAAAACCAAGTCCAATGTGTGTCCAGCACAATGGGTGGGGCCAGATATCTGTTGGGACAGCCTCATGGTTGCCATGGCGGACATGAAGTCCTGAGCCGCTCCTGTGAGGGTCGCCTCGGCATGGATATTGAAGTCTCCCAGCACCAGAAGCCGTTGAGACTCCAACGCCAGGCTCGAGACCACCCCCGCTAGCTCAGGTAGGGAGACTGTAGTGCAGCGAGGTGGACGGTACACTAACAGAATCCCTATTCTGTCCCGGTCACCCACCCTCAGGTGGACGCATTCAAAATTTGAGGTCTGCGGGATGGGGCTCCTGATCAGATGGATGGAATCTCTATAGACCACTGCGACCCCGCCTCCCCGTCCTCCGGCTCTTGGTTGGTGTTGCACGGAGAAACCTGGAGGGCAAAGCTGGGAGAGGTTTACGCCCCCAGCTTCATCCAACCAGGTCTCCGTGATGCACGCCAGATCTGCCCGCTCCTCCAGGATTAGATCCTGGATCCAGGTCGTTTTTCCGTTGACAGATCTGGCGTTCAACAACACCACCTTCAAACCAGAGGGCCCGCTCACCTGGTTACACCAATTTACCTTAGGAGACCGGTTGGGAATTTTTAATATGGATAAGCGGTCCGAATTAGGCCGAATTTGGGGTCTCCTTTTGCCGCATCTCCTCCTTCCCACCACGACCTCTATGGGGGCCCCTCGGCTAATGGAACATCTCCCCCCCTCCATGCCGCAATCCAAAGCCCAGAGATTACTTTCTGCTTTGTTCGTAGTTGGAATTTTTGGTTTTTGCCAGCATCCTCTCTCCCCCTCCCTCTCCTCCCCCCTCCCTACCCCATTCTCATTCACAGGCTCCCACCCACCTCCTCTCCTGCCCCCTTCACTACACAATAGTAGCAGGGACAGTACACAAAGGGGAATGGGGAACCACATGGATAGCAGCAATACAGGTGGTAGTAGGTGTTCCGGCCACACCAATAGGAAAGTCTTAAGTGCATAGATTTTAAATGCAGCGCTGTCAACAATAGTATACGCTCAGCAACAAACACCGGGTGCTATCAGGCACCTACATAAAGTGCTAGATCTAAAGTGCTCTATTCAATAGTAATTAAAGTGCGGCATAGAGGGATAGGGGGGGCGGGGCGTAAGTGCTGGTGCAATCTAGCAGCAGATGGCAGGCGCCTTAAGTGCTCTGTCGAGTTCTTATCACAAGTAGCAGCAAAAGACAACCAGGACTGTACTAAGTTGGTAATATATGATATATAATCACCCTCGTATGGGGATGGAGATGCTGGTAAATTAACTAAGTGCTATTATGACCCAGATGAAACCCTTAGACGGTTAGTATGCCAGCGGATAGGGCTTCCGGAGATGGCCACTCAGCAATGGGGCAGCACGGTTGGTCAATTCCGCTCTTGCGCAGTGTATAGTAGCGCAAGGGAGGCCAGCTTAAAATCTATGCAGAAGTCTGCACAGAAAGGCCAGCAGAAGAAACTATACAGAGGTCTACACCAAGAGGCCAGCATACACTGACTCACACAAAGGTCCACACAGAGAGGCCAATACAAAAGGTCTACACAAGGTCTACACAGAGAGGCCAACACAGCAGATTTATATCAAGGCCCCCGCAATCTCGATGCTTCGCCCTGGTGGAGAGTGGGCAGCCAGGTGGCCGTGACTCAGCGGCGGCCTAATGCAAGCGGCGGTTGGATGGTGGTGAAGGCCGCCGCGGATGCCGCGGCAACGGCAGCTTGGCGACGGCCACGGCAGAGTGGTGGCTGCAGCAGCGAAGGGGTGATGGTGGTCCCGTCCTGTAGCAACAATGGGTGGTGGTGATCCCGTCCAGACGGCGGCGGCGGCCGCCCAGCTCAACAGCAGCCTGCTGATGGTAGGGCCGCGGCTCAGCCTCTACGAGGGGACGACGGTGGTATTGCCTAGGCCCAGCCTCAGTCTCGGCCGAGGCCTAGCGGCAGCCCGGTGGTGGAGGAGCCGCGGCGACCACAGCGGCCTGAAAGCGGCAGCTGCGGGCTGATGGAAAGAGCGGCGGCGACTCGAACTCCTCTGGGCAGGGCGGCGGCGATCTCCTCTGGGCGGCGGCCTAGTTGTAATGGCGGCCGCAGCCGCGGCAGCTGCAGTGGCCCAGCTGCGGTCGCGGTGATTGTGGCGGAGGCTCGGCCCCACACCGTGGGCAGCAACGGCCCATCCAGGTGGCGGCCCAGCAACGCTGACGGCCACAGCAAGGCCCAGCGGCCTGGAGGCGGTAACTGCGGGTCGATGAAAACAGCGGCCACGACCCGAGCTCCCCTGGGCGGGGCGGCGGCGAACCCCTCCGGGCTGCGGCCTAGCTGCAATGGCGGCCGCGGCCGCTGCGTTGGCGGCTGCGGTCCAGCGGCGGCCGCGGTAACTATGGCGATGGTTCGGCTGTAGCCCAGATGTTTTCTCCTTCATATTAACAGTGATATGGGTGTTTAATTGCAACACAGAAACTTGACTCTTCCTGTTTTCTTTTTGTGTCTGTAAGACAGGTCACAATTTCAGCA